CCCCCCAACCCAGCTCAGAGCCTCACCCCGGCCACAATAATAAATAAATAAATACATAAATAAACGAAGCGGCTCCTGCTGCTGAATAACGTTTTTTAGCGCCCCCCTGCACCATGCACACACGCCTGTGTCCCCCCAAAACCGCTGCGTGCCGGGGTCCGGGCTGCTGCGGGTCCCAGCTCCCCAGGTGAAGGGAGCCTCCTCGGTGCAGCTTGGCGGCCGCACCATCCTCCCACCCATAATTTGGGTGCCGGTCGAGCGATTTGTTGCTGTTGTTGTTGTTGTCATTTTGGGATTATTTTATCGTTTTGGTGCTCCGGGTTTCGGCGGGCACCTTTGCGTAGCAAGGGGCGCCTGTCCCGAGGCATTGCATGCCCTCGGGTCCGGCCGAGCGCCCCGCGTGCGAGCCTTACAAGCCATGTCTTTCCGTTGAAGAAGACAGGGGTTAAAATGAGCGACGACCTGAAGGCCAATGTGAGCTGGCTGCCTGGGGAGCGCGTAGACGGCAGCCCCGCGGAGAATGTCTCGGCCACAGGCTCCTCCCCGGCTCCCGGCGCGGAGCCGGAGCCCGAGCTCTTGGTCAACCCCTGGGACATTGTCCTGTGCACTTCGGGCACCCTTATCTCCTGCGAAAACGCTGTCGTGGTGCTTATCATTTTCCATAACCCCAGTCTGCGGGCCCCCATGTTCCTCCTCATAGGCAGCCTGGCCCTCGCAGACCTCTTGGCCGGGCTCGGGTTGATCGTCAATTTTGTCTTTGCCTACCTGCTGCAGTCGGAAGCCACCAAGCTGGTCACAATCGGACTGATCGTTGCCTCTTTCTCTGCCTCTGTCGGCAGCTTGCTGGCTATCACTGTCGATCGTTACCTCTCGCTCTATTACGCCCTGACTTACAATTCGGAAAGGACTGTCACTTTTACCTATGTCATGCTCGTCCTGCTCTGGGGAGCGTCGATCTGTATCGGACTGCTGCCCGTCATGGGCTGGAACTGCCTCCRAGATGAATCCACCTGCAGCGTTATCAGGCCGCTCACTAAAAATAACGCGGCCGTCCTCTCCGTCTCTTTCCTGCTCATGTTTGCCCTCATGCTGCAGCTCTACATTCAGATCTGCAAAATCGTGATGCGCCATGCCCATCAGATTGCCTTGCAGCACCATTTCCTGGCCACCTCCCACTATGTGACCACCCGAAAAGGAGTGTCCACCTTGGCCATTATTTTGGGGACTTTCGCTGCTTGCTGGATGCCTTTTACGCTCTATTCCTTAATAGCAGATTACACCTACCCTTCTATCTATACCTACGCCACCCTCCTGCCGGCGACGTACAATTCCATCATCAACCCTGTAATATACGCGTTTAGGAACCAGGAGATACAAAAAGCACTTTGGCTCATCTGCTGTGGCTGCGCTCCCTCCAACCTGTCACAGAGAGCAAGATCCCCCAGTGATGTCTGACTGGCAGCGAGGAGGACGCTCGCTGCCGTGTGGTCGTTCACACRCCATCACAGACCTCTTTTTGGTTTAGATGCATTCATTACATTGGCACGTGTTGGGTTCATATAGGAAAAAAAMCACGCAGGATGCACTGACCTTTCTGTAAGGAGAAAACCCCAGTGACCGAGATGCTTCAAGCGGCTGAAGGGAGATTTCCAAAATAAAAATAATCAGTGTTCTTACAGAGTTCTAATGTTGCTCAGGGTCTTTTGTTGTTATATAAGTGTATAGCCCAGGCTTTGCCATGTTTGCCATGATTTTACATTATTTTGCTACTTAAAATTAGATTGAAATAGCATACCTACTTTGAAATTGCTTGTGATTGTGTTCAGTCATGCTGCATGTTTTATTYGTTGTCAGAATTTTCCTTCCCTCTTTAATTCTTATTAAAACASTAAGAGAAAGTCCTGTTACCATAAATTCATTTGTATATCATCAGAATACTCTTCAAAATAATGGCCAAGCATACTGATGTGATAATTATGATAATAACCTCCATGCAACAAATACCCTCTGTATGAGGAAGTACCTTCTTAGCTTTCTATTTTAGTTCTCAGCATGAATTAGCTCCATCATTACTTTAAAGTGTTACCTGTTCTCTTTTGAGTTCTGAGTGGATGCTAAAACAAAAGATATCCTTTGCCTTCTTTTTCAAAAAGCAGGCGTGTATTTTCACTTAGATATAGGACATCAGAGCTCATTATACTGTTAATTTTGAAAAGAATTCCCTGCTGAAGTTGGTGGGGAGTTTTGAAACTGCTGAGACACTATGGCCTCTTTTGGCTATGCATGTGTAACAGATGCAGCACTTTAAGTTTTTGAGGGGCAAGTTAATCTTTTCAAAAGTATCAAAGAATATCTAATGAAATAACCTGCATTTAACTAAGAACGCATATTTAGCATCTATGTTAAACAGGTCTTCTTAAGCTTTCCTTGAAGTCACAGCTATCACTGTTTGCTTTTCTACTATATTTTAAAATTCTTAAGTTTATTTTCAGAGCATATCTGGTTCATAATTGCATGCAACCAAAGCTGCAACATGAACCAGTATTTTCTCTTTTCCTGGCAGTTTCATCCGTCACAGATRATGATTCCTCACACCACGTGCATATCATTTCCCTTCATTACCAGGTCATAGTTCTGGTCTAAAAGGCAGAGCTTCCTCTCATGAATGGTTACATTAAAAACTGCTTTTAAACTTTTACTGAAGCAGCATTAGTATGCACTGGATGTAAAATGTTGCTGTCTAATAACAGTGACTTGTTCRGCAGAGAGAAAAATCTTCCTCAAAGATATCTTCATGACACTTAAGGTGTATCCTAATGTCAGTGCATGGGAGTTTATATTCCCAATACAATTAGTGTTCATGGGAACAACACGTGTTAATGCCCTGGCATCAGTACGAGGTTATATTCCCTTGAATGTCGAAGTCAGTATATGGTCGTTTTGCTTCAGTATCTTCCATTAAAGTTAAGRAAAAAAAGAAGTCACAAGTGTAAAAATAGCAATATTTAAAGTTCAATGAAAAARTATACCTGTATTATAGATAGTAGAGACAACCGTGTTGCCAATAAT